GCAGAAAGGAGCCTTGGGGGAGCTTTGTGGAGCTGGGAAACAAGAGGAACATTTCGGAATGATCCGACCAAGTATCATCACCCCACCCAGACACACACACCCACACACAGCTTATGGAACCATGTCAACAACATTGAAAATATCAATCATATTAATATGAATACTGATAGAAATTGCTCCTCCTGGTGCAGGCAGATGGCTTGGACGTTTGCAAAGTCGTGCCTTACAGTTTTCCACAAGTGCTTTGGTGCAAACTGGTGGGTTCTTGAGGTAAGTCGTACTTTGGAAGGGTCGGTCATGTGACTTCTAATTAGTATGTTGGTACGTAGCTTTGTGGAAAGCAACTCTTTGCTGATGCCGCTGTTGTTTGTTGCTGCATGTGTAGTATTGTTGTAGTATGAGCACAAGGAGACTGATGGTGCATGGCCTGCAAGATGTTTGTTTTTGGGCCTTCAGTTAGTTATTCCAACATCATTTGTGAGCTGTATAAATCAGATCAGCTTGTTTCTTTTGTTGTCTTGGGGCATGCGGCATGACTATTGACCATTCAATCAGAATTCAATTTACAAACATGCCGTTGTAACTTTTGTTTTAGTTTCTCTTTCTTCATAGCCATCCATAGCCACAGAAATCCCAGTTTGGTGGAAGCAGAATGTGTTCACCGAGCTGGACACGTTGTAAGAAATGACGGATCGTGCTGCATGAGGCAGTGACCTTGAGCACCCGCACGTGGACATGAGCCACCTTTTAGTGAAAGATCATCCACAGCGTCCTTCCGCATTGGCCCAGATCCTTGACCTCCAAGTGTGTGAAGCCTTGGATTGGGACTGGGAGACATTGGGAGAGACTTTTGGGGACTGCTTGAAATTTCCAAATCGGAGATTCTATCCCATTGAGGTGCTTTCATTGGAGTATACACACTTCTCACCATGTCTTTTGAGGTAATGACTAGTGACCAATCTCTCACAGGGATGCAACGATTTTGAGTGTGTGTTGAATTCGTGGCAGGATGCGGGCTGCTTTGACGACGCACGGATATTTTTACTCTAGCAATGTGGATTGCTTGCCTCAGACATACATTGAGAATGATGCTTGGATTGCAGTGGGATGGAAAGGCAAGTTGAGCCCTTGTGTTTGCTTTGTCAGAGACTCTGAATGATTGCGGTCATGCATGCGTTTCCCACACCAGCCAAAATTGGGTTAGTTAGTAGACTTGTAGACGCACTGTCGACCCCTGCGGCGGGACCTCACATCCGCCCACTGTCCCGCCAGTCTCCCTCCCCACCAAACATTGCGCCCATGTGCCAGGATCAAGCCAAGTATATACTATAATTGAGCTCGAGGTTTGTATTCTTCCCTTGGTTTTTCCAGTGTTTACGCTTGACAGCAGCCTCAAAAAATCCGAGTTGGGCAGGGACCGCCGAGAAAGAAATTGTTGGTCTTGGCCACACAGTTGAATGAATATTGACTGACTTGCTTTCCAAAAGCACTTTCTAACTGGAGAAACCACATGCTTGGCTATCGTTGTTTCACAATGCAATTCCCACTTGTCCAACCCCAAGTCAATTTGTTACGCTTGGATTGGATTTTCAAACTGAGAGAACCAGAGTCTCTCAAGATCCGATGCTCATGCTTTTGTTTGAACTTTTGAGGTGTATTCGTATGCGCAGCAGCTGCATGCCTTGCCCACAGAGCAAAAGCGCCATTGCGCACGACCCAAAGGTACCTACTCAGGTTCTGATGTTGCTCGGCGAAGAGCGAATCGAGACTCTGCGTCGGTGTAACTTTTCACATGTGACTGAAGATTCTTTCGGCAGCTTTCATGTTGAACATTTTAAAGTATTAGTATGATTAGTACGTAATCGTTAGTACTGCAGCAAAGCACTGATTTGATTGTAACCCTTGTGTGGCAGTCGTTTGAGGTTGGAGTAGATGAGCTTGCATATGAAGCTGCTTGGCAGAAGAAAGGTCATCCAAGTCCACACACCAATTGTTCGATGCGTCCCGAGTGGCATCCTGTCCAGACAGCCCAATCTTGTGGAAGGCAGGCCATCTTGACTGACGGCTGCATAATTGAGTCATTTGTCAGGTTGCTTTCCGAGTTCAAGGTTTTAGACATTTGGAAGCTGCAGCAAATTGCACTTCCCGCCTGCCCTCCCGAGTGAAAGTGGTGATGCAGAATGCTGCTCAGAACATCTTGAATTCACCACCAGAATGGGTGGACTTGGCAGGACGCCTTCACCTAGTATGTGTCGGCCAAAAGAGCCCAGCAACATGCACTTGCTTCTTCACCTCTGTCGCAGGGTGTGATGGGTTGTTCTGCAAGAAAGGCTCTAAGATGCCTTAATGTACAAGTCTCCCATACTGTTTGGCTTAGCTTTGCTGGGAATTTGGACAGCCACCACCGCCACCGCCACCGCCACCACCACCACCACCGCCACCACCACAGATGGAGCGTCCCTTCGCCAACACATCTTTTTTTCCTGAGCTGTCTCTCCGAGTGCGTTCTTTTGAAGGAGTTTCTCTTCTCAATTTTTGAATCACATGAAGGCTGGAAGCACTGCGAGTGTGCGTGCTTGGGACTACAGCAGGACGAGGTTTCCCACATCTGGACACAACTATCCAGATGTAACTTGCCATGAAACGGGGACTAAGTTCTCTTGAGTGGCAGAATCTTACTTTTGGTTGGAGGCCATTGCTGTTAGGTTGGAGACCATCGCTTCTAGGGACAAAGTTGCCTTGGTTGGGAAGTGCTGTGTTTGCTTGTCGTGTTCCACTGCCCAGGTAACATGCTCTGTGACTGGACAAGGCTTCTTTGAGTTTCTGGATGATGCTTGGAGGGTGAACAGTAGTTCTTGATGTGCAGCAAGACCCCGTGAATAGCTTTTTTTCTTGCTCTATGCAGAATCACTTGTGTCTTCTGAGGATCTATATGAGCGACAAGATATTTTGGGAAAAGCCTTGATGACCGGCTTTGCAGAGATGTTGGACCTGCCTCCTGAGACCTTTGCTCAATGCTTCGAAGGTCATGACATGGGAACCATTCGGTTGCTGCGATACCCACCTGCGGAGACTCCAGAAGAGGCTGCCCGGAGACAAGTGGCCAGCTATGGAATCAGTCCTCATACTGACTTCGAGGCCTTGAAACGTCCAAAAACAGGGCTTTTATGCAGACGTGGCACGCTGCAGTTCACATCAGGCCTTCACATTGATGCATCAAAGTGCTGCCGGGCTTCAGTTCTTGAAACCTGGTGGTCGCGCTTGGTTGGATGCTCCAGTCAAGAAGGAAGAATTTGTGGTGAGACTTGGACTACCACTTGGCTTTGCACTTTTGCGTTGGCCCTTGTGCTTTGTTCATTAACTTAGCCTCAGGATTGTGGGAGACGTCCTGGAGCGCTTCACTAACGGAGTCCCTTAGAAGCAGAAAGAGACATCATTGCAACGTGTTAGGATCACCCCCCTTTGCCTCGCATCAATAGCCTAGGCCTCCCCCTTTGCCTCGCATCAAGACCGTTGTTTGTCTGCAGCTTTCTGCTTGAGGTTCTCCGTGCCACTCCGCACAGAGTCCTACAAACTGAGTGGGAGCGCTTTTCCATAATCCGCTTCAATGTGTCATGGCAGTACTAAACTTGAGACTAGCATCATCAACGTTTTATAGGGGAAGTTTACTAAGTGAGTATTATTGAACACTATGACTAGAACCGATCTGTTTGCAGTGCTGACTTCTTGAGATATGCGACCATGTGGCCTTTGTCGGATCGGACTCAGGCCATGCGGCCTGAGACTCTCATCCAGCCGCTTCCAGAATTTATCTCCAAGTCACGCCCAGCTCGCTACACGCCCGCCGGGGCCCCAGAACATGCTGCAGCGACTGTTTGGAATGGTTCCATTTTCTGTAGGGATTTGGAGTGCTGTAAACCTGCATCTTGCAGGTCAAGTTGGTCACGCACACCATATCCAAGCATGAGAATAAGTTGATTTGTCTACGTTTGTTTTTGGAATCTCTTAAACATGTTTCTGGAATGAAGGTCACCATGCAAAAGCACATGGACACCACTTTGACGCGCTTGGAGCGGGGCCTCGGTGCCTGGGAGAAGGCGGGACGTGGATGGGCTCTGAATTTGCAAAGCTGGGCCCTGGATTCTGAACTTTCAGCTCGGTGTGAAGAACAAACAGTCCTAAAACAAATCAACCAGGACCTCCTAGGACTGGGACCTTCTGTTTTCATATGTTGGGCTCCGGACGTTCGAACAAGTGGTTTCACAAGGTTTCCAGAAGCTTCGCCATCGTTGCAAGTTCGCCAGGGCAATCCTGGGCGGAGCACGTCTGCAAACTATGTGTATGACAAGCCAAGCTGATCAGCTGTGGCATGGAAGCGACCAAGCTGATGGAGGCAACGTTTTGGCTCCAGAATTCTACAGATGCACTCTGCACTCTCGATCTGGAAGCTGTTCAGCTTGGGAGGCTGGGTGTTCGACTGATGACTTCAATGATCGATGGGGGGTGGTGGAGCCACGCGCCGCTGGAACTCATGAAACCTCCTTGATCAAAGTGGATGGGAGGAAAAGAGCCTACCAGCTGCGTTTTTGTTCGTGACTGGACTCAGCGTCAGGTGAGTCAAAATCAACAGGGGGAAGGAGGGGAGAGAGAGAGAGAGAGAGAGAGGGAGAGGGAGAGGGAATCGTTTTGGAAGGAGCTAGTCTTGTCGAGACCAATCTTGACCAGTTGCGACGTGGTGGGTTTTGGGAGTTGACCATGGAGGATTTGGGGCTTGTTTGAATCTCCCTTGATATGTTTCTTGACTCTTGACGTTTGTTCAAGGCAGAAGATTCCGAAGCGACCAGCACACGAATCAACGGCTTACCATTGCCCAAGTGTATCCATATAACATACTAACTTAGACTTCTCGACTGCTTGACAAGGCCTTCCAAGACCTTGCACCCCAAAAGCAAGTCATCGCCACCGTCACCATTCTTCCAGCTGCAAGTTCATTGAACATTTTCCCTACCGGCCATACCAGCTATCGGAGATTTCTCGTGTGCATAGCGATGCTCCACACACGCTATGCCGTGGTAGCTTTCTTTGCCTTTGTGCATGGGAAGGACCTGATGTACCTCACATATTTTCACATGACATTGCTTGGCAATTCGAGACGTCTTTGCCACAAAGCGTGAAAACCAGCTGGCCCCCTGTCGTCACCCTGTGCGGAGGAATTGGAGACGCCCGTGGAACGGCTGATTAACTATCATTACCCTTCGCAGTACGTGGTGCTGAGCTCAGTGCCATGCTCATGACTGAAATGCTCAGGATGGCGCTGGAAAAGTGATACAAATGGATCACCGATGAGAGGGTTTGACTAACGCATGAGGGGTTCAGAGCCTTTTTGTTGAGAGAGTCTCGGGTGAAGGGACGATCAGAGGAACAACTTCCATTGCAGTCCCGGACCATTTTGTGATTCATCACCGAATGAACGGAGGTGCAACGCTTGCGGAAGGGCCAGGACATCAACATCGATGGACACCTGGAAGAAGACGCTTGGTCTGAGGCGCCGTGGATGTCGGAAGGATGTCGGTTTGGAGTCTTAAGAGAATCTTAAGAGGGCCGGTCATTTCTCTTGCTTGAGCTGGGCTGGGGTTTGCCCGCTTGTTTGGACCGGATTCTGTGGGAACCCTGATAAGGCCTCTTTGGAGTTTTCTAGAACTTCCAGTCAGTTTCTTGGCAGGTTCCATGGCTGGATGATTTCCTAGATCTGGCAGGGCCTCGCTTTGACGGCTGGAAAGAGGCATCTAGGGATTATGCGAGGCGCAGTTGCCCGGCGCCTTTCTTCTGCATACTCGTGTGAGATGTTCAGAGTTCAGAGTGTGGCAAGTCGAATCACACAAATTTTCTGGTCCACCCTTCGACAAACTCGCTGACTTTAGCAGACTAGGACCAGCGCAACATCATCTAGGTTGCTCATTTGCGGATTGAAACCGTGAGACAGTGAGACACCCCTCAAAGTCATGTTCGAACCAATTGGTCCATAGTGCGCAAGCTTCGCAGTTCGCAGTTTGTTTTGGACTGCAATACGGTCATGATAGGCGTTTCACTGGCTCGTCAAACCCAACACGGGTGAAGCTGCGCTGGGATGATGCCTTTCTCTACGTGGCAGCAGAGCTGCGGTCCAGGCAAGAGCAGGGACACCATGAAATCTTGCAAAAGCAGGGTGGTATGTGGAAGTGCCAAACTACTTGTGTGACAAGACAGCAGACGTCCTGTTGTTTAGTCTGCCGGCATTCCAGGTCCTTCACGGACTCATTCTTAAAGGTACGCATCTCGTGTCACACCAGAATCCAAAGCCTTCAGGGTCTACTCGTCGGCGTATACTCAAGTTTCCCTAAAAATCTAGGAACCACATCAGTAGTGCCCGAGCTATCCTGCGTCCATACTAGTAGCGTCCTATCTAGGAGCGAACTGCTCCCTTATCCCATCCTTCAGTTGGCTTTGCGGCAAAACACCGCGCCCTGCGGTAGACCCGGAGGTCGGTGTCCGCCTCCGTGACCGGGCACTGCGCAGATTTGCAGAGCGAAGTTTGGCCAAAGCCTGTTCTGCCAAGAGCCCAGCAAGCAGATGTGACAGGTGATTTCCCGCTTGTCACGCATTTTCGGGTCGCATTCTTGTAGCTGTACGTAGTAGATCCTAGTAGCGAGTGTAAATATCCATCTGGACAGACTGCCGCAGGCAGTGTGGGGTAGGACTGTGGTGAATGAAGCACTCAGGCCATACTTTGACGATGATTTTGAAGTGTTCATCGATGGGTCTCAAAGCAACTACTTCTACGTGGAATTTGAATTGAATGCCAGGAGCAAGTGGCAACGTCTTTGGGTCATGAGCAAGCCTTGAAAACATGGGCTGATTTTGGCAAAACAAACAACACTCTGCAGAACATTGAAAAACACAGGGCTATGGTGTGTCGGACTTACACAAAGTGTACATGAGGCGTGTGAACAGAGTCTCTTTAGGAAGTTGACAGTGGAAACCAAGTCGATCCAGCTTCCTTCCGTGGCAATGCTTGCAGGAACGCCAGCTACACTACTCTGTGGTCACAGCCACAGGCAGGCCTAGGTTCTGTGGCTCCCGAGTGCGGGAGGCCAGGCAGCGGCTTGCAGGGAGTGTGCTGCAACACCACGTGGAACGGAGGCCGGAGTTAGTTATATATGTTATAGTTACATCATATACTGTATATATATATATATGTATAGCCGAAGCGCGCGTACGGCGCTATGTGTCTTTCGACCGGAAGACAGGGCTCAAAGTGGAGCTGGGGCCAGGGTGCGTCGTGCAGCCATGGAACCTGGGACGGCTCTTGGACATGGGGTGGAGCCGCGAGAACCTCGCCTTCTGCGAGGGCATGCCGGTGCAAGAAGTCCAAGGGCTGCTCCCAGGCATAGCCGGTGAATGGACGGCGGAAGAGCATGGCTGGCTCCAGAAAGAAGCCAAACGACAGAGGATCAAGCTGGACCTTGAGGATCACATGTTCCTCCAGCATCAGCGCCTTCTCTACAAAGATCAAGCATGGCTCAAAAAGGATCGAGGAGACTCCCACCGCGCAGGCTTTGAGCGGCACTTCGTTGGCCTTGGTGAGAAAGACTTTGCCGAGGGTGACTTGGCGGACTCGTGCAGAACATCTTCTACAAGGCTGCGAGACTGAGGTGCAACGCAAGGACGTGGAGGAAAGAGAGAGGAACAGGTGGATTCAGAATCTGGTGCACGAGCTCCTTGAATCGACGAAGTTGATTGAGGAGGCGCAGAGGGCTGAGCGGGGTTCGAAGTATTCGTGAACCGCTTTGCCATGGGAAGGAGGGCGGCCACCATTCGACAACATGTTCGGCACGGTCGGAGGCTGCAAGAGTACATGGGCTCGATCTTTGGCGAGCCGTGGCTAAGAGATCCAGGTCATTTAATTGCCTATATAGCCCTCCGCATGGAAGAACCCTGCGGTCGAACAGTACCAGCATCCTTCTTTAAAGCTGTAGCGTTCTGGAAATGTCAGCCGAGGTGCCCCAGGAGAAACGAATCTCAGCGCCTCCATCGCAGTCCTACACTTCTTGCTCGAGGTGCAGAGGAGTGACCATTGGCTCCCGAAGGCCACGGTGAAAGCAGCTTGGCTGCCAGTGGAGGCCATCAGAGCGATGGAGGGGGCGGTCAAAGACCACATCATGCCCCCTCGACTCGGAACGGGTCACCATCATGAGTTGGGCGGCGGTCTGTGGCATTGACAAGGAGATCCGCAGACGTTGGGGACGCTGGAGGCCATCGGTTGATGAAGCCTATGTCACCACCCCCCGGAAGCTGGTCCTCGAGGCGCAGAAGGAGGTGGCCAGGCGGGTCAGGAACATTTACGGGGTGTCGGACTTGGTGGATGACCTGGCCACAATTGGTAACTTCACCCTTTGGCTGCAAGACATCCATGGGAAGCCTCCCAGTCAGGCAAACAGGGAGGCAGGCGATTTTGCGCCACCACAATCAGGTTTGCAAGGAAGCGCAAAGCCAGTGGAAGGCGGTGGAGCCGCAGAAGAGGTTGGGGGGAACTGTCGGAGGAGGAGGTCATCGACCTTGATCCAGGTGCAACCTACTCTCCCACGGAGGTCTTCGAGGAGGAAGGAGAAGACAGGAACGCCGATCAAGCAGACAAGGGTGATGTATTTCCCTTGGGAACCTACGTCCTTTTGGTGGTCGGTCGGTCACGGGGGCGCACCTTTGCACGTGATTGGTGGCTGCTATCGGATTCTGGGTATCCACTATACACAGGGAGATCGGAGAGGCCGAACTGGACGCAGCTCAAGGTGAAAAGCTGTGCTCAACGTGTTTCACAGCCAGGGAGAAGATGGCTGAGGTCTTGCAGTCAGGCGCTGATGCCGAAGTGCAGAATGAGCCTGGAGGGCTTTGGAGGCCTGGCAAATTCGAGACCCCGATCGACTTGCGATCTTGAAGGAGAACAGGGGCCGGAGTGCTGGGTGGGGCTGGATGCCAATCAGGTTGGGGGTCGACTCTCGACGGACGTCGTGGTTTCTGGAGGGCGGATGCACTGTCGTGTTTGGCTGAGCTTGGAGGGCGGGCCCCGGAGTGGGCACAGCTTGGGCGAGACTGGCCAAGGCCTTCTGGACGGAGGTGGAAGAGTTCTCGAATGAGGCTCATCAGTTGGCGTTGGGAAAGCACGCACTCCATTCGAGGAGGTCATTGGGGGGATCAAGAATCGACTACAGTAGATGGTCTGATCCGAGAACTGGCCGACGAGGGGAGATGTTCAGTCAGAGATCGCATTCCGTCGGGTTCAGGCCTGGGGTGCGGTTGTGGAGGACGCAGACTACAAGTTCGTCGGTGACATGGCGGCCACTGGGGTTCCGGTGGGAGTCTGCTCGCAGATCCCTCGGTTGAGGCCGTCTATGACAAGAAGACTGCCCATGAAGAAGGTGGGTCGCTCCGATGGGAGGAGGATGAGCTCGACTCCGTAGTGTGAGAAAATTATGGGTGAAGGAGCGCGTGGAGAAGGTGAAACACCACATCCTAGAGGATGTGAACAGAGGGTGGATGGTGGAGATGGACAAGGAGGAGGCCATGAAAACGTATGGAGAGGACCTGCAGGCGGCCTCACTCAACGCTCTCTGAAAGGACAGAGCTTGGACCGATGTCAGGGTGGTCCACGATGGCGCCCACGGCCTCAGAGTTGACGCCCATGTTGACCAGCCCAACAGGATGACTTTCCCTCACTTTAATGACCTGGAGTGCGCTCTTCGTGCGTTCAAGAGCCACGAACCCACTGCTCGGTTCATGATGGCATTCGACATCAAGTCGGCGCACCGGCTGGTCCCTATTCACCGCAGAGACTGGGGGCTGCAAGCTTGCAGGCTGGAGGATGACACGAAGGTCTACCTGAACACCAGGGGAACGTTCGGGGTGGCTAGCGCTGCGTTTTGGTGGGGGAGACTTGCGGGCCTCGCTTTTAGGATCTTCCACCGTGTGATCCCCGTGGACGCCCTCATCTACCTTCTGCTGTTTGCGGACGATGGGCTGGCGTTGGTTGGGGGCCCAGAATGCCACAGGCTGGTCCTGGGCTTGTTCATGTTCCTGGAGCAGGCCCTTCTTGGCTCCCCTCTACGCGGCATCGTGTCAGTTTGCACCTGGCCACCAAGCTCGCCATACGCTTCTTCGAAGACTCCATACTGGAGGACTGTGAGGCAGTTGTCTGACGTCCCCTCGGTTTTGGGTGAGGTGTTTCGCGTGGACGCCATGGCGGACGCGGATGGCATTGCCATAGGCAGTTGGGAGACCTTCGTCACCACGAAAACAAAGAAGGCCAGATGGTCTCATCTCAGGTTGGACCGCACCACGGCACCGTTCTTGTACGTAAAGGGTGAACCACTATCTATCCTAGAGCTGGTGGCCTCAACGGTGGCCCTCATGGTCTTCGGTCCTTCTGGGACTTGGAGGAAAGGAGCCGGGAGGATTGCGGTGACTGGGTTCACCGACAACTTGTCGAACTCGTACCTCCTGGACAAGTTCTTGACGACGAAATTCCCGGCGTGTTTGGTGCTTATGGAGTTGTCCAAACAAATGGACAAGTACGACTTGGACTTGAGTCTGACCTGGATACCTCGCGAACAGAACGAAGAGTCAGACGACTTAAGCAAGGAGAGGTTCCAAAAGTTCGACGTGAAGAACCGCGTTGAGGTGAACTTTGCCACCTTGGACTTCTTGGTTCTTCGCAGGCTCCTCGACGCCGCCACAGAGCTCGACGCAGAAATCTGCGAAAAGAAATCATCCAAGACGAAGACTTTGAGCCTGGCAAAGGACAAGACACCAGCAGACGAAAGACTCCGGCTAACTCAGCCATGGTAGTCTAAAGTGGGGAAGTGGCTGACACCGGAGGTCTCGTGCACTCCAAAAATGAGCCGAAGGGAGTAGACACATATAGCCGAAGCGCGCGTACGGCGCTATGTGTCTTTCGACCGGAAGACAGGGCTCAAAGTGGCCCACCACACCCACCCTGGAGAAGTGGCTCACACCGCAGGTCTCGTGCACTCCAAAAATGAGCTGAAGGGAGTAGACATATATATATATATATGTTTAGCATGTAACTGTATTATGTATATTTATGGTTCTCTCTCTCTATATATATATGTATATGTCATGTACATTGTACATATGTTAATGCGGTATACAACTGTATACGTGTTTTGAAATTGACATCTAGCTGCCACAAACACTCTCAGAGCCTTTCAGACACCTGCTTACAGCAACCCTTCCAAAGCTTTCAAAGCCTTTCTAGAGGCAAGGGTCTTTGCGACCATGGCGTCGAGCGAGAAGGACCGGCCAACTGTTTGCTTGCACTATCACAAGTCTACATAAATCCTGCACGTGACAGCTGAATAGTTTTTTTTCCTTTGCAACTCAGTTTTCTCCGCTTCTGCTTTAGCCACAACTGATGCTGCACAACTACCCTTGCCAAGACAAGTAGTGTGCCATCAGTGGGCTACAGTGCGTCCTTACCACACTAGTCACAAAGCCCCAAAGGGCTCGCAATGGTAGGTGGAAGTTGGACCCTGGAGATGTTTGCCGAGAGCTTGCGGCCTGGAACTGGCATGATCTCCGCAACGTATCTTGGAGTTGACCAAGTTTGTGACATTGAACATCGAACTTCGAACTATGTAATTACATTGTAATTGACAATGGCACGCCTTTGTCGAACGTTGCCAATTTGGCAAGCATAAGCTTCGATTACGTACCTTTAGCCCACATAGAAGACACATAACGATCGAAGCAAGACGTGCAACAGAGTCCAATAGTACTGAAGTAGTGTGCAAGTTGTGGATGGTTGACAGCACTGAGGAGCAATACCACCGAGATGTGGGTCTTAGAGATTCGCTTTCCGATTCTATCTAGACGCTCGTCACAAGAAGCAGTTCTGCTTCCTGAGAATTCTCCCACCGTTGAGCTCTGCCATTGCAGTGTTTCTGCGCAGCCCCACGGCCGCTCAAATAAATTATAGAACAACGACAGTTATCAAGTTTTATTCTTGATGGTTCCAAAATGAAAACCCTTTTCCCGTAGAATCCTGCAAGACACTTATGTCACCACACACGGTTCAGTTTCCTCCCTCCGAAGCTCTTCGAATGTTACATTGAAAAGCCGGGTGACAATTGACCGTCCACCGTCCCACACTAGCACCGCTAAATTGACTTCCTAATTCAACCGCGCTGATCAATATAGATGTTGGATGATGTTGGTATAGTGAGCCAAAACAGGAAACAGGTTCTTAGGTGAGGACAGCAAAAAAAGCTCAAGATGTCCAACCAACAGGAACCTAAGTCGATGCATCAAGGTTAGTGACCCATTGTTTTATATTTTGGGCCATCGACCAGGTGACCAACACGGTGGGCTGCTGAATTCGCCTGTGAGCCAGCGTCTCCCGCATGTCCAAGCAGCAGGGCCACCCAGCTGATGGACCCAAGGGAGCCATTGTGAAGCGTTTCTTCAGTTTGGCCACATCAGTTTTCACATTTGGTCTAGAAGCTAAGCTAAATTCTGGGTGGCCTGGAACGTTACGTCGTTGGCCACTTGTGTGTACAATCGCTCCCGGAAACACCTTTCTTCACTGTTGTTCGGGAACTAGACTCAAGCTTAGATGAATTCCTTTTCACATCCTTCGTGAGCCAGGAGAAGCTTCATCCGGCCAATGGCCAGCGCTTTTGGTGGGCAACGCGACTTGAATTGATTGGCACCTTTGCGACTGCACAACAGGGTCTGCACACGAAAGGTAGAGAAGCAGAGTTATAATATCTAACTGGAATCACTATAGTTTAACAACAGTGCATGTCTGTAGTACGCTGGTCTAGGTCAAACATGTTTCCGTTTCAAACATTCAAACACCCGTCTCGTTGTTTGGAACCAAGTTTTGCCAACGCGCTGCATGCGCCTTGGTGGAGCAAGCTGACTGCTGCTGATACGAAGCACCCAGAGTTACTTGGAGATGAGAGGCCACCAGCTACTAGCTGATGACACTCCAGATGTAGCTGCTTGCCGCCTGCTTCCAAGCATATTTGTTGGGTGACTCTCAGAAGGTTTTTCAGTTGGTCATCTAACTTTTTGGCTCGGATGTGGGCTCCCTGACCGCGCATTGCTGCCGATGACATTCACAAAATCCTGAGCAAGCAACCCGAACTTATTTGACACCAGAAAACACATTCATCGTCAAGTTGTACTCCGACTCCCCAAACTGTTTGAGTATGTACATAGCAAATGTTGTTCTTTTGGCTAATGTTATGATATTTTATGATATTATGGGATGAAGATAATGCTGGGCTGGCTGCTGCTTCAATGACCGAGGCTGATCAAGCAGCGTTGTCAAGAGGAGATTCGTGGTGACAAGCAGCGTTATGGTTTTTCTCAGTTTCTTTGCTGCAAGGGCAGGCCAGTGGCTGGATCTGTAAGTTAGTGTAGTTCTTTGGTTACTTCAGTTTTTTGCCCCAATGGCCTAGTGTCTGTGCGTTGACTATTCTGATATCCCGCATTTGTTTCCTTGATCAGGTTTTTGCTGGATGCCAACAATGCAGCACCGACCTGCTATTATGAGGCAGCATCTCAAAACCTTGGTGGTCATCAGCTCCTTAGAAGACATCATGTTTGCATTCCATCCAATGATCATGGAAGTGGCATTGGACGAAAGTAGCCTCGCAAGGGAGAATTCTCCACATCCACAATTGTTGGATAGAGGATAATTCCTGCGACCTTTTGATGGTTCCGGGTTCCTTTCTTAATCGACTATATCCTCTTTGTTTTGCTGCAGATGCTTTGGCTGTAGTTCTGTGAGCAGATTTGTTTACAAGTTTACCGAATTGTTTGGCTTTAGGCGCAAGAGTGAAACGTGTAACTTGTGTTCAAAGGTACATGCACAACCCTGACGTCTTCGGGTACTTACAATTTGAAAGTACACCTGATGCGGCCAGCTGCAGAAATGTTTTCTGGCTTTCACGATTTCTTCTGGCGCAGCTGTACCAAGCTGAGGCTCCAGAGATCCCAGGGTCCGCCCGAAAACAGAGTATGGCAAACACAGACTATCGACACCAATCTTCAGTCTCCAACAAAGCTGGGGAGTATATACTTGGAATCTCTCATATGACTTCAAGACTTCTATTCATTTTCTAGGGTGTCTAGGAAGAGTTGCAAGCTGCTTCGGACTTGACCTGATCACCACCTCAATTTTTTTGCTTTGGCTTCATGGCCCTTTTTGGATCTGCCGCAGTGTCCTGCAGGTGCAGTATTTGATGAATCGAAACTTTGGCAACGGTACATACACTTCGAACTTGGTGCAGCTGCTAAACCCCAGTGTTTGTGACATCTCCAATGCCTGCAACGCCACAGCCTTGCAACAAGCACTGGACTATGTCAATGTGGCGATCCATGTGGATGGTGCCAGGTTGGTGAAGAAGCCAAATAAAAAATAATCAGTTACAAGTAGCCGCAGCCCAAACTTCGTGCTCCTTCGTTGTTTGTTTGGTTGTGGTCTCAAAGGCTCATTGTTGGCTTTTTTGCTAATCGAGACTCGAGAGATGTGAAGAGCGACATCATGTCGTGTCCAGGTCTGGCAAGTGTGTGCGCTATGCCATACCGGCAGTGCAGACGTCAAACTGGACAGGGGGGCCTTGCTTTGAAGCACATGTCAGCTACACAATTCAGCGAAAGGGTGTCTTAGCTCACTATATAAATGAAAAAAAGGAACTTTGTTACTAGCCCTTGCTACTAGTAGCTTCTTGCTCCTAGTAGGGATGCCCTTGTTACTAGTAGCAATGCCTCTGCTACTAGTAGCTTCTTGCTACTAGATGTTTGACAAGCTTGCACATCCACGGCATATGTTGCTGTCTTGGGAGATGTCAATCAAGACCTGAATGTGAAATTTGAGGTGATCCCTCCAAGAGAAGGCTCATAAGGGGATCTATCAACGAGGCGCCAATGCTGGGATGATTGCGATGGCGAATGTTTGATTGGCAAGATTTGGCAAGTCCGCTGAAATTGCAATCCTCTGTCCACGCAAGACTCCGAGCTGCTTCCCCTTTGGACGTGGAGCCACAATACTGTTTGTTCGACGCACTGTTCGACGGTTGTGCGAAACCAGGCGCGCTTGATGTCCTTGCCGGATGTGGGCCAAAGGTTCAAAGCTCAAGGGTGTATTTTGGAAATTTCAGCAGAATCAATCAGTGCGAAATGCCATGCTGAGGTGGGACAGTCCAAATGCAGATTGGAGCCTGGGTTTGCACTTGCTTAAATGCAACGAGTAGAATCCGGCTATTGAAGTCCCAAATTCAGTCTTTTTTTTAGCACCAGTGCCACTCAAAGCACGCAACCTTCAACCTTCCTTCTTTTCCAAGGCTTTGCTTAGACAAGGTGGAGGTGCTGCTAGCAAGCACTTACGTGTGAGAAGATCGAATTTTATGGAGCGGAGCCCTCTCTTCTCTAATTTTCAGACCAAAGTCGTCTGTAGCCGTTGGAGGCTTCAAGCAAAACAGGAGAAGTGTGTGAGTGAGTCTGTGATTGTGCATTTTGCAAATGACTTCCCACTTTTAATTCTGGAAGTGCATGCTGTTTGTTTGGAAAAGCCCCGCAAGTGGGCAGCCACACCCAAAACAGCTTGGAGGCCGGGTTTCAATCAGCTTTTGATCCTGATTAGGCGTCTTGATTCCGTCAAAGACACCAAATCCAATCGCATACCTGAACGTTGATCAGCCCAAGCGTGAGAGCCAATGTGCCTCGGGAGAGACTGAACAAAGAGGAACTCAAGATGAGCGCAGAGCTGAGCCGTTCTAAAGCCCCAAAGGAAACCATTGCCTGTGCAAGCTGAGATCACATCTTGTACCACACACCATGCCACGCTTTGGTCTTCCGCGCTTTCTTGCGTTGTTGATCTTAAGAGCCTTTGCAGAAGAGGAGCCCCACGATGCACGGAAAAAAAATGAGACATACCTGAACTGGATTGAACTGGGATTTGGAATCTTGTTTGGGTAGGACAATAAGTGCAGGTAGTCAGCTACTAAAGCAACAATTTCCCAAAGCATTATTCAGGTATAACCTTTTAACTTTTTGACCCAAACGTATTCACACAGATCAAAAGTTATCGCCCTGTCCTACAGGAGTGTATAGAATGCACGGATGATGAAGCACTACATGCGCTTCAACGAAGAACTTCTTTTCGCAGCCCGAAGATGTACAAGGGTAGCCTTTAGACAAGGTGGTGTGTTTACAATTATGATGTAGGCTCTGCAAGGAACGGAGGAATGCAGGATTGCCGAACAAGTTGTGTACTACTGCACTGCGTATCTACTCGCACATCAACAGTTGGATGCCTTTTTGGTGTGGCTGCCAACTCTATCATCAATCACCGTCCCGTTTGCTGAGGTACCAGCTTCGACTTTCACTTGAACAAAACAGCTGCTTGATAAAGACATGGCCAACAGCTCTTTGACATCGTCTTGTGGATAGGGGCTTTCGGGGCAGACAGCTTCTACTAGTTACCAGTGCAATGTATATATTTTGTCCGGCTGAGAGGGTTCTTTTGCTTGAAAGAATAGCCTTGACCCAACCAAAATATGCCCTTTGGCTGAGACAGTGCCACACATGTCTTCAAGTTCCCCCTGCTCGCTCCTGTGGCGTTTATTGTGAACACCTACCAAGAATTTTGCTTGCCTAGCCAGTGCCACATACGCAAGCAGTTCAGTACGGATCGCATTAAGGCCACTATGAATTTGCAGTCGAACTGTCAAACCGTGATCAAGCTACTTTGTCGCTCGCAATCCTGAGGTGACACTGACTGGATTGAAAAACAATGGGGACTTCTTCGATGACGTCGGGGACTTCTTCCACGATGTGTTTGAAGGTGTGCGAGAGCCTTGGACCATTGGAGGACTCTGTAGATCGACCCGACCTAGAACCTCATGTCCTTACATCATAGTCTATATAGTTTTGTTTTGCCACTTCTCAAGCTATGAGGGCACTCGTTCCAGTGAATCACTTGTTGGGACTGTGACAATCATATCCAGAGATCAAGATCAACTCAGGAGTGCTTGGATGAAAGCGCCCAACTGCGCTTTGAGCTACAATTCCGATTTCTGGTGGATACATCACAATGCCAAGTGGAAGCAACATTAAACACTGGAAGCGCTATGATGACCATATCTACCTGCGGACCGGACCTCAGTGTCATAGGATTTGATCGCGGGATATAGCTATAGAAGAACTCAATGTTTGAACAGGACAACACGCCCAACATTCTGTCCTAAATTTCTTCTTCAGTCCGGAAACAAAGATAATTTAGGGACTGCAAGACAAGCAACATTTTGTCTTTTCGAGCAGCAGTGAATGGACAGCCTTTGATCCAAAGCCAGAATTTTGTTTCTTTCTCGAAGCACTGGAAATACTCGAGTTTGGTTCAGGTCATTTCCCGGTGACCGCAACACTCTTCCGTGGTCCTGGCGTTTACTACGACCAAGACAGGGTTACCTTCAGCTCATGTGCTCATGACGTCATGTGTGCAGACATCCGGTTCCTGAACAAGGCCAGGTTTGACTGTACAGGAATAGAAGATAAACTTTTTAGGAAGAATTCTACTTTGGAGCTAAAGCGCTGCGCTTGTTTCAGCTGAGGGCTGAACCAGAACATTGAGTGCACCAACGTCCAGTAGACTTGGCTTGACCAAGATCAGGGTATCAGCTGTTCACTTGGGAGGCTGGTTGCAATTACAACGTCTGGGATGTCCAAACTCGAGCGCGCTCTGAGATCCCGGTGCGTCTTACCACAAGATGGATTACATTGGTATCCAATGCCACATTGTATGAAATGTAAGCTTGGTTCCCGGCATGACTCGGTGCCACTTTAAAGGTGCTGTGACTTCAAACACTGGTCACAGCACAACATCATAGGGCAAGAAACCTGTTGAGAGATTGGAGGGCAGACTCATGATGCACCTCTTGGGAAAATCGCAAAGAAGGAACGTGCTGCAAAAGTCAGCAGGAGTTAGATAAAGCCAGATGATAGTAATTGAAGCATGAGCCAGACGCTCCCAGACGACCTGACACGGATGAAAGGTGGCACTCTGCAGAGTTGAAATCCGTTTTGCAAGAAAGAAGGGCTGGCATGGAAGAGAGAGAGAGGGAACCATGTAAAGCACCTGAATTCCGAAGCATCTGACACAAATTGCATGACCGCGCGCAGGACCTTGTTTTGAACCATTCTATATATTTTATCCTGTCATTCTGACTTGTCTCATCTGGAAGTCGTGCGGCTTGAAGCAGTACGGAGAACGGACACTGTTTCAGAGGTTGTGCGTTTGCACACCCTTCCCAGATGAATATTGAAGAACGAGCCTTTGCGTCTAGTTGCTTCCAAATAGATGACTTCACCTCCAACACAACACATCAGCAATAGCTGCGGAAGCGTCCACTAGCATGTCGATGGAGAATAATGACCTGGAAAGATGCCCTTGGACAAAGGCACTGTGGAGATGCTTGGCACACTGAGTCTTTTGCTGCTTTTTGGACTTTAATCACGAAAGGTTGCTAGGCAACCTTGAGTTTGATAAGCTTTAGCTTAGGAGCAGACTTCTCCTACATGACCTGATTTTGAGGTTTTCAACATGACTTTGCAATTGGGAGGGGGGGGCCCCCCCGTGGCTGGGAAGAATGCGCCCTATGAGGCGCACAGCTGTGCTAAAGATTGTCAAACGTCCAAAGCATTTCTCCATCCCGCACTAGCACGCTCAACTCAAGCCGAACGCGCTGTACATCTGACAGCTGCATCGATCAGCACGAGCGCCCAGATGTGACCAGGAATCCATCCCGCCTATCGATCACTTATATAAAGGGGATGGATTCCCAGGGTGACCTCACTTACAAAAAGCACAGATAAAAAAAACGACAAGGAAAAACACACAAACACAAAGAAAAAAACGGGACACAAACATTTATTCTTTTTATATGAGGAAATCGCCCATTTATACTTTCTTTCTCTTTTGGCGATTTCCAATATAGTTAATGACCTAGCCCTTGACCCCGGATACAATTTAGAATCAATTTAGAATGAAAATATCAAGTCCACTTAATTTAGGTGGTAATAATAAATAATGCATTAAAAACTATTGAAATTACTTAAGGACTTTAATGCCATGAATAGTAAATATGCTATAACATTTATAGATTAATAAGCGATTTTAAATAAGTGATCATAAATTTTATAGCCCTTACAATCACATCTGTCCCTTATCATTCACCTCCAGATCTAGGATGTGATTGCAAGGTTCATTCACCAATATTTCCCCTTTCATATCTTAACCCATAGAAAATATTGGATCATTCACTTCTTTTCTTTCTTTTTCATGAATTTTCAATAAGAGATTTTCTAGAAAAATTCATGATTCTTTATTAATTCCCTGCCAATTTTATGAAAAATGTGATCGCTGTCAAAAAGCGATTATAAACATGCTAGTCTCTATATATATGGAGGGTGACCATTAATTTATTGACATTTTCTTTTTTGTTTGGTAATAAAGAATGCTTGTGGAGGAAATTAACGGTCATCGTATTTTATTGTTATCAGTGAATTTCCATAAGTCATTTAATGGAAAATTCTCCCATAAATTATAAAGATAGAATATCCCTTTCAAATTGGAGCCTTGACGACCAAAGAAAACGTACGAAAGATAAAACAAAATACCAAGTAATATAAATGGACTAGCCGTTAACCTCACACATGAATATAAAATAAAATGTGTGATCATGATTATAGATAAGAAATAAAAGTTATGATCATTAATTTTCATTGTGAAAAGACAAAGATATGATGAAGAAAATTGATGTGAATGAACCAATATTAGACAATAAACACCATGATGACTGATAAAAAAGAGACAAAAGATAATATCAGTCATAAGGTGTTACACGGTTGTAGCTGGAGAACCTGATGTTGGAAAGTTACGAATAAAATTGTAAGAACCCCAGCTACAACCCCCAGATAAAGACCATTCATTCCCAACACTAAAACTAAAGAAAAGGTTATTATAAATTTTAATGTTGGATCATTCATTATTACCTATTCCATTATCTATAACCATGACTTGGCAATCTATTTTATATTTTTGCCAAGGGTCATCCGCTAGGCTATAATTTTAATATCTTTCACCATCATATTCTTCTTAATTTTGGGCTTTATCTGTCATCATCTTTTATAATGAAAGAAACCATCCTTTTTGCTGCCATGCCAGAGCTTATAAAGCACCAAAAACAATAAGATATATAAAATAAATAGACGGGGAGCAACCTATAAATTTAAAGAGCGTATATTGTTTTTAAGAGATGAACGATAGAGAAATAGCCAAGAAATTAAAATAGAATAACAATGAACCATTAAATCTATTGGCCAATAATAATGAAGTGCCTGTAGAATCCTAAAAGAAGAAGAGATAAGGAAAGACCATAAATAGAATGACCCTTAAGATATAAGATGAAATAGAAAAAGACCAAAACCAACAATGCAAATAATAAAGGAATGAGAGCAACGTATCTGATTATAAATGATGATTGAACAGGCGAATGAAATTGAATGTGAGAGAGAACAAACTAGAAGAATGAATGAGAAGAAGACCAAATGAAAGGAAGTGGGAAACCGTGAATAACAAATGCTTTTCATATAGCAAAAACCAGGCAATGAATGAATAGAAAGTCATCCAAAACTCATCATATTAATGCAGGATGTCTTTTACAAATTAATGCAAATAAAATAGAGTAATATAGAATGAAAAAATATGACAATGAATATGAAAGAAATGAACGACCTAGCTTATGGAATTATCTTTGGAAGCTTATGAAAAATTAAGATGAATTACAATAAAGCTCTTGCAAAATACAAAAAATTTTCATAAAAGATCAGGAATAAATTTGCTAATGGTGGAAAAGATTTGGACATGCAAACAAATAGCTATTTAATTAGCAAATTATTTTCATTATAGCTGTAGAATTTTCATGTGTACTAATGATTCAATCCCCGGCCCAATATTTGAATGAGGAATTGG